GCAAGCATAACTAATCTTAGGGGAGGGTCTTCGGAGCTCAGTGGCTTGCAGGGGTGAGGGAAGGGAAGAGTCACCAAAGTCACGCTTCTCGAATGATTGAAGGCAGTCCAGCCGAGCATGCGGCATACCGTGCGTGTTTTAGTCCCTCTGCATACTATGCGACGTAATGTCTGCTCGTCTGTGCTATCTCATGGAGATAGCGCCAAATAATTGCCTCTTACCACTATCCACGTAGCGCTGCGAATACCTCTAAGAGATCCAGTACTAACGCAGAGAGTTTTAACTTCTTCACTCAATGGTCCTGCCCTCGCAGTACCAATTTACGGTCCCGGGTACAAGGATTGGTTAGCTCGAGCACAAGCTGCTCTCGGATTTACCCTTGGCTGCGCGCATGTTAAGCGTGCCGCCTGCTACCTTCGCCTCTGAGGTACTATGAAAGAAGCAAATATCGCAAGCGAATTCCATTCTTTCAGATTTGAACTACAAGAAGCTGACTCACCTCACACGGAGCCGGACAAACTCGTCCAGTGAACTCTGGGAAGTTGTTTGTCTGTAGAAGTTGTTCAAGAGCTTGTCGCCAGTTCTTCTTGAACACGTAGTCATTCCATTTTGGAATGATGTTACCGAGCGGGCAGCCGGTATGACCTTGGCAGAACGGCACACCACAGTCCATACATCTGTAAGTCACTAGAATTCTAGAAAAAAGAGAGACGATAGGTGGTCAATAGTAACCTTGCAGCTTGTTGCCGGATATTACTTCGCACAGCTCCAAAGTCATACACCTCATCCCAATCCTTCATTCGCTCCTCCGGATTACGGTACAACTTCTTCTGGCGATTGTATTTCACAAATCCGCTATAAATACATCTTATTATTATCAATATAACAATAATAATCAATGAGTTAGCCACAATGGTGTGATTGAGGACATTAAAGTCATATCAAGTAATGTGGCTTTCAGTTCCTTATAATAGAAACCATACCGGAGCTTATCGAGAGGCTCGTCATTCCTCTTTAGATGAGGAGGAAGGGGAATATTCTCGATATCAGAATCGACCTTAGTTTCGTGACGGAAACCGTTATTGTGGAAGAGCTGAAAGCAGTATATTAGTGTAGGAAATTTATAGAGGCGGCCAGGACTCCCAGTACGTTAGGTCACCATCATCTCGCAATGCCGAGCGCAAAACAGGCGTGAGTAAGAGACCGATTTATATCAAGTCACTCTGGTCCTCTAGTAACCTTCAAAGACACAACGACTACTTGCAAAGCAATCCCTCCCCAAGTAGTGATTACACACGTCCGTTGGTGTAAAAAAACACCACTATTGCCACGAAAAAGTAAGCGGAAGTGAAATGGTAGAATTGTGATACCCAGGTATTCTTTATGTCTCCACCCACGACTCTATACGCGACACGTACGCATCAGACACGCAACACGCCACACAGCTAGCCATACACCGTTGCGCACACGCAAGTTGTCTGCGCTCTCTAACGTTTGGAGGGGAGCCATCGTTTTGCAGCCCAACTTCCGCAGTGTGACACGTTCGCAATGCATGGCGTGCATATCGCGTATCGTGTTGCTTAATTACTCCATTTTAACGGATTTACTGAAAGTTTCTGAGCTTTCATTTAAATGTTGGAAACTTTATGAGGAAACCACAACATCTGCAGAAACCCTCTCAATATAATTACATATAGTCTTATTCGAAGCGAATGATGGGG